TATGTTTGTGTGTCCATTTCTGGGTTCTCTGTTCTGTTCCATTGATCTGAGTGTCTGTTTTTATGCCAGTACCATACTGTCTTGATTACAGCTTTGTAATACAGCTTCAAGTCCTGAAGTGAAATTGTTTAAATGTGTATTTTTCTGATTACTGATGAGGTTGTATGTCTTTTATGAAATACTCATCATGTTCTGTCTCTACTTTGATTTATAGCAGCTTTATACATTCAGATGTTTCCTTTATTTAAAAATTTTTTTTAAATATTTATTATTGAGAGAGAGAGAGACAGAGCATGAGCAGGGGAGGGGCAGAGAGAGAGGGAGACATAGAATCCAAAGCAGGCTCCAGGCCCTGAGCTGTAAGACGCAGAGCCCAACACGGGGCTCAAACCCACAAACCCTGAGATCCTGACCTGAGCTGAAGTCAGACACTGGATCCATCTAGTCACTTCAGTCCTTTGTCTGTTATACAAGTTGTATATACTTCAGTCAACTGCTTTTTTTTTTCTTTCTGTTGAAGTATTAAGTGCTTGTTTTTTGATATTTGTTTTGGGATCTTTTATGATACATTAAAAATTTTTACATAGCGAGGCTACCTGCTTGGCTCAGTGGGTTGAGCGTCTGACTTTAGCTCAGGTCATGATCTCATGGTTTGTGAGTTCAAGCCCCACATCAGTGTTGCTGCTGTCAGCACAGAGCCCACTTCAGAACCTCTGTCTCCCTCTCTCTCTCTCCCTGTGAACCTGCCCCATTGACTCATGCTCTGTCTCTCTCAAAAATAAACATTAAGAAAGGTTTTTTTTTTACGTAGCAAAATCTTCAAATCTTTCCCTTTATAGCTCCAAGGTTTTGTGTCTTAAGAAAGCTCTTCCCATTGCAAGAATATAATCTGTGTTTTTTTTATATTTTATTTTTTTAATTGTAAAATACATATGTACAGTTTATCATTTTGCCCTATTTTAGGCTTTAGGCTTGCTGTTCAGTGGCATTAGTATATTTACATTGCTGTGCAACCATCACCACAATTCAGGTCTAGAACTTTCCATTATCCTATACTGAAACTCTGTTTTTGTGTTTTCTTATAATGCATTTGTTTGTTTACCTTTAGTTTTTCAGTCCATTTGGAATTTATTTTTCTATGCTAAGGTAAGGATCTAACTTTATTGAAGAATCCATTATCCTTTCTCTCTATCCATTTGAAACCTGCTGCTCTCACATTCTCGATTACTACATACACCTGGGCCTTTTTGTACCTGTGACCCATCTGTTCTCACACTAGCTTTATGAAATTGTTTAATAATGCAGGTCTTCCAGTTAATGAAGTGTCCAGAATGTTTATAATTTGCTACTGTTACTCTTTTCCTTTTTCTTGATAAATAATGGGTTTTGAATTTTGTTCATTGCCATTTTGGAATCACATGAGATGAATGAGCATACACATTTCCTCTGAGTTAGTTAAAATGATGAATTACTTTAATAGATTTCCTAATGTCAGATTACCTAAATTCTACATTCAGTAGCTTGTTCAGTACGTCCCATTATTTTTTTGCATATGTCCCAGTTTATTTGTATTGTGCACATGTAGGAAATGAGACCCTATCAAAAGAGAACAAAAAAAAATAATAAAATAAAGAAGCCAAGTGTTTCAGAGGAAAAGCATGTCCACTCTTTTGATTTGCTTTTATTTTACTTAGGATTTTGGCCTCTGTGTTTATTAGTGAGATAGGCCTATAGTTTTCTTCCCATCTATTCCTGCTTTTGTGTGTGTGCTTTCCTTGTCCAGTTGTATGAAGGGGTAAATCTATCCTTATAGAATGAGATGGAAGCATGTTTTTCTCCTATTGTTTTTTTTTTTTTTTTTAATTTTTTTTAACGTTTATTTTTGAGAGAGACAGAGCACAAGCAGGGGACGGCAGAGAGAGAGGAGACACAGAATCCAAAGTAGGCTCCAGGCTCTGAGCTGTCTGCATAGAGCTGGATGTGGGGCTCAAACCCATGAACCATGAGATAATGACTTGAGCTGAAGTCAGATGCTTAACCAGCTGAGCCACCCAGGCACCCTTCTCCTATTCTAAAAACATTTATATGGCACAGAAATTATGAGTTCCTTGATAGTGTGATGCAAATTATCTATAAAACCATTTGGGTCTATTATCAGGCAGTCTTAACCTTTGTTGATAATCATATTGATGCCCAACTAGAATGCATATCCCCACTATGTGATACCTCTTTCTCTCTTAGTGGTCCTCTTCAGCTTGCTGCAGCCTGGGGGAGCTAGTTAGTGGTAAGAAGAGGCTAGGTAGAGCTCATTGAGAATCGTTTTCCATGTCTAAATAGAAGCACAAAATAAAGATCAAGATCTGACTTCTACCTGATAGCATTAACTTGAGAGCTTAGTTTTTATCTCAGAAAAATGAGTGTATAATTACTAGGAGGGTTCTAGTGGTTCTCTTCTTACAGAGAAAGGGCACATTATTAGATTAAGACTTGCTGACTTGAAAACTTCTAATGATTACCTCAGTGTTCACACTGCCAGACCATGTGGTATCAGGGAAAACAGTGGGCTGTGGGTCAGGTGCTCTGTCTTTAGCCAGCTGTGTGATCCTGGGCAAATCACCTAACTTCTCTGGGTTTTGGTGTTCTCATGTGGTCTAGTAGGCCTAAATTAGTGATTATTGTGGTAGGATTGATTAATAGGGGCTGTCTCAGAATCTCCTCAGACTGGGAAATTGAATTTTAAAAGGTTGAGAAATCACCCATTTATGATGTTTATGAGACAATTGGAAATTTGAACACTGGGTAATTGTTGATATTAAGGAATTATTAACCCTTTAATATGTGATAATGGTGTTTACATTTGAAAAAAGAATCCTTTTTTAACGTTTATTTATTTATTTATTTATTTATTTTTAACGTTTTATTTATTTTTGAGACAGAGAAGAGAGACAAACATGAATGGGGGGAGGGAGCAGAGAGAGAGGGGAGACACAGAATGGGAAGCAGAGCTCCAGGCTCCGAGCCATCAGCCCAGAGCCAGCAGCAGGCTCGAACTTCCTGGGACAGATCTTGACCTGAGCTGAAGTCGGACGCTTAACCGACTGACCACCAGGAGCCCCAGCGTTTATTTATTTTTGAGACGGAGAACACAAACATGAATGGGGGAGGTCAGAGAGAGAGGGGAGCCTACACAAGTCTAAGAACAGGCTGCAGGCTCTGAGCTGTCCAGCACAGAGCCTGATGCAATCAAACTCCGCGAGACCCGTGAGATCGCTGACCCTGAGCGAGGGAAGTCGGACAACAGAGTGAGCCACCAGAGTCTGCAAATATAATCCTTTTTTAATTTTGAGTTACATAATATGATATTTATGGATAGGCTGAAAAAGAAAAAGATTATAAACACTGGCTAGACTTTTCTAAGGTCTTTGGCGCTTTGCAACTGAAACAATTATCTGTTGTATTTCTGGCACCGATGAATATTTATTGTGTTTCTTTTATGGAACTGGACTCTTATGTCCTCTTTTTTTTTAATTTTTTTAGGTTAGTTGGGGGGAGGGAGGGGGAGGGGAGAGAGAGAGAGGAAAGCTTGAACCTTTTTGAAGGCTGAGGGGGGGGGGGGGGGGGGGGGGGGGCAGAAAGGGGGTCAGAAGATCTCAAGCAGGCTCCCGACAGCAGACAGCCCGATGAGGGGCTCAATCTCACAAACCATGAAATAACGACCTGAGCCAAAGTTGGACACTTAACTGTCTGAGCCACCCAAGCACTCATACTTTTATATACTGTTTACAGCTGAAAAGCTGTCAGGGGAAGAGGAGGGACAGAGACTGTGTTGTGCCTTGCCTCAGAGTCCTGAGAATGGACTCCTTGCCTGTGATTACAAGGTCTTTCTCCTCTCTAGCTACATGGTGGTCTGCCCAGCCAGGGGGCATCCCTGCAACTCGCTCAGTAGGCCCTGGGAGAGCAGACCCTCTAATCAGGACAGAGTAATCCTCTGTGCACAGCCCTGCCTTTGGGCAGGGTGAGCAAATGTAGGCAGATTCTTTTAAGTTTTGATTGTCAAACCCTTCTTTGTTTCCTCTCTCCTGTGCCCTCCCATTTTCCCCTTTTTTCTGCATTCTTATAAACCTCTTAAGAATTTTCCAAAAGTGAAATCTAGAAAAGTGAGAAAAACCCTGGTGAAAAAAAGTTAACTGTTTCTACTTTGCTTTTTTCTTCCTAAGCTACAGGGCTCAACAAATTGTGGCATCCTCCATACCAATTGAAAATGGATAAGACCTAAAAAACTGATATTGTCAGAACAGTCATGGAAAACTTCCTTATCTCTATCACCCTTAACAGTTTGCCCTTTCCTTTTCCCTGCATTCTCTTTCTGCCCTTATGCATAACAATAAGAGCAAACCTTTGTAGTTGAACACCTATTATACTCAAGGTGCTTTATGCAGATTGTCTGGTTTAATCTTGTAACATCCCTGGGGAGTAGAGACTGTCCTTGTGTCTTACAGATGAGGAAGAGGAGATTTAGCATTCATCACTTGCCCTACAAAGTGAGGTGGGTCTCTTAACTGCAGAGTCCACATTCTGGTAACCACTTGGCTGCTAGAACACATACTCTTGTACATCCAACTTTTCCCCATTGAGAATGACTTCTTTGAAATAAATTCTCAGGGTCTGGGTGTGTTAACCTGGCAAAGTTTTGACTCTTGTTCCCTCCCTCTCCTGCCATAGCGCCTACCTCCAGGACCCTGAAGATGCCGTGTGATATACCTTCCTTCACCAAGCTGGTGATGGCTGCTGCACAGTGAGCCCTGGGTGCACACATGCTGTCCTGCTGAGCTGTCCACTTGTCTGAAGACTTCTTAAGACTGCCATTTTTGCCTCCCTGCCAACTGTCTTCAGAATGGGCCTCTGGGTCTTATGAAACCATTAGGCTAGGTGATACGGCGCCAGCAGAGGGAACATCGTCCTCTGTCATCTATGGGTCTCATTCCCGGAATCCCCAGGTTCCTGAGCAGATTTGGCCATGCATGGATCAGAGGCACTTCTCCAGCATTCGCTGTGACTTGACCCAAGTAGCAGTGTTGGACTGCTCACTGCATTTAATAAAGGAGTTCCTTTTGGAAGTCTGTGCTACCCCCATGCCAAGTTGGGAGGAGACAGCCACATGGTCTGGGGCCATTCAGGAGTTAGGATTGAGAGCCCTTTGCTGAGGACAGGGGTCATCCTGGCCCACCAACACTTGTGCCGTACCAGAGGGCTGGTTTTGGACGTCACTGTTACTTTCACTGAGCAGCCATGGGTGAGCACATCTCTGTCTTACGAACCACATCAGATACTGAGTTAGCCTGCTGAGACTTGGGAACTCCTAAATTCAAACCCATGATAGATCAAAGAGGACTGGGCTGTCATCTTTCAGTCCCTTTGGCCACTATAGATGGCGGGGGCGGCAGTTGGCCACTAGGTGAAAGCTGGCCCCTTTCTTGTTTTCATCATGCTTCGGGCAGTTCCTGTGTGCAGAAAACCTGCAGGTCCAGAAAGACTGAAAAAGAGGAATGGAACAAATGAAGTGGCTTGAAGGATATGCCAGTAAGTCCTGTGGAGAAAATGATAGGGCCTTGAGGTTTTGCACCTAGTACCTAAGGAACTGTTGATTCGACATGGAGATGAGAAGAAGAATTTGCCAAGTCACAGGGAAGGAACCCCAATCCCTGAAATTTCTATCTCCAGTGCTTGGAAGTGAAATAGGGATAACTGGCTAAGTTAACATCTTGGCCTGGCTTCCCAGGAAGCTTAAGCATCAAGATAATGAAGGCAGTACTCTAGTGTTTCTGTTTCCATTCTATGCCACTTCTTGCTTATGTCTTCTTGCTTAGTAGTGGGAAGGTTATTGGCATTGACTCTACTGTGTGAGGCTCTTGGTACTAGCCTGAGTCCTGGAGAATGATCACTGAAGACGGAGTTCTGAGCCCCTCCTTATGTCCTCACAATACTTGTATGCCAAGGTAGTTTTAGATTTGGCATCATACCTGTCCTCCAGATCAGGCTCTCGACCTTCTGTACTCTAGAAAATTTCTAGCCAAGGTGTCAATAAATAGAGCAACCCAGATGTGACTCCGACTCTGTTCAGTATCAGTAGGCAGGAGGGGGCACAGCATGCCATTGCCGTGGTCCAGGGTCCTGACCCATAGTGCAGCATATATCCAAACCAGGTCCCCTGTATTTAGTCCAGCAGCCTCACCTGCCAGTCTGACTGGCAGCCAGGAGGGAGTACACAGTGTGTAGGAGTCTGAGACAAAGCAAAATGGAGTGCTGTGGGCAAGGAGGAGGCATGTGTGATAGGCGTGCAGAGAGCCTCTTGAACAACCAGGCCTCCCTCCCTGACCTCCTGCAGAGCTGGTCTCAGCAGTGATTTGCATAATATTAGGCTTCATTCTTGCATTAGTTGGGTAGGTAACTGCTTTTGGAAATTTATTTACGTAAGTTTGAGGAAGATAATGAAATCTGAAAGAGGCATCCATGGGTCAGGGGTTTGGTAACTTTAAAGGCAGGATAACACGCCAGTAGGAACCAAGGGCAGTAAGACTGTGAGACTACTGGAAACTTTTAGGAATCATTTAGGACAGGCAGAGGGTGCTGAACAATCCATTCATGACTTAGAAGTACAGCCTAGACAATGCTGGAGGGGTTGCTCCTGAAAGATGCTCGCCCAGTGTGTGCTGGGACCAAAGGAAAAACTAATGTATTGTCCTGCATCTGTGTAAACCCTCGTATGCTTCCCATGGATGACTTCCTGAGGCTTTGGTTGTACACCTTGAAGAAAGCCAAACCTGGAAAGGGGAGTTGTAAGAACATTTCACCTTGGAGTTACAGACTAAAGGGGGAGGTGGTTGAAGTAAGGGAGTCATGTTCTTCACACTTCTGTACCCACTCTTCTCGAAATGTGAAAAGAAGCTTTCCTCCATCTATCACGTATCAGACCTAGAGTCCTTAACCTCAGAAGGCAATACTACTGGCTGAGAATGTAGACGGATCAAGAAGGCTTTAGTTCAATTCTTGACATTCAACATGACAGGTGCATGTTGATGCCCGATGGAAGATGTCCTTGTGCTTTAAGAAGAGGTCACTGATGGAGATCTTCTACCTGTTCTTGGCCCCACCACTAGAATCATCTTGGGCTGGGTGGGTTATAGAATTGAGGCACTGTCACGGTTCATTCTTATATTAGTAAAAACAAAAATAAAAGCAACTTTGGATTTCTTCAACTTGTTTTCAGTTGACTTCTCATATTTATTCTGATGACCGCTCAGTGAAGTGGCACAGAAAATAAAAGCCAAGATAGTGTGGTAATGCCAGAGATCATCTCATGGATGCCTGGTGCCATGAATACCATACTTTGTACTGTACCATGGGTACCGTAATTGCCTTTTTACATGTGAGGAAATAGGCACAGAGAAGTCACAGCAGGAAGTGGCAGAAGTAGGACTAGAATCCATGCAGTCTGCCACCACTGTCTGTTCTCTGCACTGTTCTGGGGTTCTGAGATGGGACGCAGAAATGGACATTAGCCCAGGAGGCGAGATGATGGCTTTGCCTTCCTGTGGCCCTTTCCTGTTAACTTCCCATCAGGCCTGAAGTGATTGCTGCGGCTGTGGTGGGGCTCTTGGCTGGGTCAGAATCAGTAGGTAGGGTCCTGAGAGTGTGAAATCTCTTTGAACATTCTATCCCTCTATCCCCTCCCATAAGTAAATAAAGACAGGAATGAATGAATGAATGAATTCCAACCTCCAGGTTATTTGTGAACTTGTACCCATGAGGAACTTCCTTCCTGTTCTTGAATTCCAGGTCCCTCCACTTAGCATTGGAACCCTGTATGGGTAGAAGCCATGGTTCTGGTAGTCTACATGAAGTGTCCTAGTGCATGTGGGCTCATCTTGCTACCATCCTGTGTAGAGACAGGGTGCATTCTTTCCCTTCCAACTTTGGTCTCGCTGACTTGGGTGAGTCAAATGAAGTGAGAGATGAAGATTAAATTATTTAAATGATAGCCATCTTAAATTTCAGGAGTATAGGAATGGGGTCATAGCAAATTATAATGCAGAAACATGTTCATTACCTTTTTATGGTCCTTTCTAACGCATGTTTTAGTCAGAATCAATGGTTGCAAGAAGCAGGAATCATTCACCCCCATGAATTCTAAAACGGCATATTGTTTCAATAGGCACTCTCACAGACAGGGAGCCTGACAGTTATTGCTACTTGCTTTGTAACCTCAACTGACGTGCTCCTGCCAGGGGCTGTTTTTGATCCTGCTGCCACAGGACTTTGCTGATGTGGACCCCTCTGTGGATGGTTGGTCCCTGTCTTTTGGATCACATTCTGAATGTGGTGTGCTTAGTGGCTCAGCCTACCTTCATGCCTGTCCCTAATTCTGTTCCCAGGCCACCTCCTTTCTTGCCTCAATGACTTCATCCTCCCTTGTATGCCAGCTCTTCACAGTGCTGTGCCGTGTGCCAGGGATGCCATTCCCATTGCTCCTTTCTTTATCCTCCGGGATTCAGCTCACATGCATTACCTCATTGACACCAGGCAGTTAGCTCTTCTGACTGCTCCTGACTATGACTTGCTACCTCCAAAACCTTGGATTACACTGGGTTGGGCTGCATTTGATCCACTTGCAGATCAACCGCTCCCAGGCTTGGCCTAGAGGGTCTCAAGGTCAGAGTCATATCATCTTCCTCTAGCTTAGTGTCTGTTTACTGGTGGGAGCCCAGTAAATGCTGGAGGATGAGTGGCTATGAGCCATCAGCCCAGCCCTGCCTTCCCTCCCCCTGCACGGAAGTCCCCAGACTCAAGTCATAGATGCCATTTGCTCATCTCACAGGGGACATTAGGAGAAAGAAGAGAAGGCCCTTCTCCAAATTCACACTGAATAGTGTAGCTCACCCCAGGGGCCAAAATGCCATTTGGAACCCAAATGTGGGAAATAGCATCTTTTTTTTTTTTTAACTTATTTATTATCGAGAGAGAGAGTGAAACGCACAAATAGGAGGGAGAGGCAGACAAGAGAGAAGTGATCAAAAAGCAGATTCAGAACTTCCTCAGCCAGAATACTGTGTGGGGCTTGAAACTGCAGACCCACAGACCGTGAGATCATGACCTGAGCCGAAATCAGACACCCAACCGACTGAGCTACCTAGGGGCCCCTAGGAAATGGGATCTTTAATCAGCCTTCTTCCAGCCAACCTTATACCACCATGGTTGCAGCCCTCCCACCTGTAGTTTTCCGCACTTAAACACAGTTTGCCTTCCTCTCTTCCTCTTCCTCCATCCCTTTTCATTGCTTCTCCCCACTCCCCCACTATGTAATAATTACCTTTTTCACTCAGCACTCAGGCATATCAGTTGTTTCCATCTCCAACCCCTGGAGTTGGATGAGAGCCAAATCAATGTTCCCATTTCACAGATGAAGAATTAATTCAAGGTTAGGACCAGGGAGGCCTTCCAATGTAGGGAGTGTGGAGGCAGCCTGAATCCCTGCTTCTCTCCCATGAGGGACACCAGGAAGGACCTTGTGAAAGGCGGGGTGGCTCAGTCGTCAGAGAGGGAACAGTCCAATGTCAAGATGAGGGGCAAGGAGGATCCTGGGCAGGTTAGGAGTGGGCCCAAACTCTGTGACTGATCTCTACCCTAGGACACCTCAAAGGGGAGAGAGCACTGCATGAAAGCCATAGGAACCATTTGGTTACTCCCTTAAATTGGGAGGTGGGGGCAGGAAGTGAGCCCAGTTGCTGAGGGTGGGAGGACATGATAGGGTAGAGAAGGGGCCAGCAAAGAGAAGAGGGAGGAAATGGCACATGGAGCCCCACTTTCCCATAGAGCCACCCATGCCCACACTGGTACAAACACGGAAGGAGATGGTACCAGAGGGGAAGTGCCTGGCGTTCAGCACACAGTGTGTGTTAGCACCCTAGGGGTGGGGCTCCATGAGAAAGTGCTCAGTCCCCAGCCTCCAGTCTGACTTGGCAATAACAAATCTCAAGCTGAGGTTGGGTTGGGCCGGTCTTGGCCCGTTCTTCCCCATGGCAGAAGGTGGAGAGGTGGGGAGTCCCTAGGAGTGACTCTAGGAGGGTGAAAGAGACAGCAGCAAGAAAGGAGGCATGGAGCAGGGGGCCATGGAGGGCAGGGACACATGAGGAGCCACCTTGTAGGGGTCCAAGCAGCACACCCTTGGTTTGAGTTCTCTGTTCCTCTGTGGGTTTCTGAGAGCAGCTGGTGTTTTCAGAAAAGGAAAGAGGGCTGGAGATACACCAGGGAGATCGGTTCCAGTATCCATCCAACATATTGTCCCCCAGGCCACCTCCCTCCACCTGACACGTTCTCCATCTCCCACCCCAACATCTGCATGGCTCCTAGATGCCTCCCTCCCGGGACATTAGTGACTCCTAGGCTTTGACCTCCATTTTGGAAGACTTTTAATAGAGGGAAAGCATCCCTGTCTATGATATGAGAGGGTTGCACTTGGATTAAAACTCCAAAGGGAATTGGGGAGAGGGGATTTGGTCCCATTCATCAGAACCTATACCTAAAGTGTAGAAGTTCATGGGTGAGGTGATGAGTGGAGAAGTAGTTCCAGCTTCTTCTGTCCCTGCAGCAGGGAGGTGCATGTGTATTCATTGTTCTGAGGTAGCCAGGGCTGGAGACACACAGAGTTCAGGTGGTGCATATTTGGGACCCTACTGACCTCTAAGTAGCCCTTTGGAAACTTTGAAGGCTATGCCTCCCCCTCCCCCAACCTAGATTAGAAAACTTGTTGCTTTCCCAGGTTACAGTTAGGAGATTAGAAAATGCAGATTGGGTCTGCCTAAGTATTTTAGGAATTTGTCCTAAAAGCAGTTACCAAAGAATGACTTCCCCTGTGGACAGAAGGGCCAACCACTGCCCCCTCACCCACCAAAAAACCCTAATTCATGCCAGGTATACGTCTTGTGCCTGGGGGACCCAGGCCAGTGGATGGGTTAGCCCAGGTAGCTTCAGAGACTGATTACAGGCTTACTGAGCAGAACAAAGGGATGGAGGTGGGCAAGGTGGCTTTGGTCCTGGGAGAGGGCTATGAGAGTCAGTCCTGGTGACTCTGAGGCCCCTGTCCTCACCTGGGGTCCTGTCCTGGTGGGGTAGCAGCTACCACAGGTTCCAAGGCCAGGGAAGGGTACTTGGGGCTGAGGGAAGCTAGCGGGGGTGGGGCGGGGGGAGCCCAAGCTGAGCTAGGAGCCTGACCTGGATGAAGTAACTTCCAAGGTGGAAGATCTCCTTGTTGTTCCAGGGGAGAGCTGGGCTGGGCCCTTAGTGCCTTGGGTGAGACCTCAAGGATCGCAGAAGGGGTGCTGAAGGCCAGAGAGGAGCAGGGGTCTCCCGGGGATCCAGACAGGCTGCCCTTCCTGTAACCCAGAGAAGTTCTGCCTTGAAGGACACCTCAGGGCCCCAGGAGCAATGTGGAAGGATGGTGTCCCAGATGGCTTCCCCACTGTGTCCCCTGAGTTTCCCTTCATCTTGGGCACTCACTTTGAACCCCAGGGCCAGATGGACCCAAAGACATTGGGTTTTCCTTAGAACAGCTGAGGCAAGCTTGCATTTTCAAAAAGAAGTTTATTAGCATTGAAAGGGACAAATGAGATAAGAGAAAATGCAGAGGCCCAATCTCTAAAGCAAGACCTGTGCTCTCACAGTCATCACACTCTGGCCCGTGGACTGGGCAGTTGTGTAGCCCTTTGGGGTGGAGCTGACACAGGCTCTGCCTGTCTCCACCTGCCATAGTGCTCTTTTCCTGTGCTCTGGGGACATCATCCAGGATACACTGCTCTGTAAGGTCAAAACCCTTTTCTTTCCTGTCACCCAACTGGTTCCTGCAGATGTCCAGTTGGGTGAGGCGCCCTGAGCTGGCAATAGTCCGGGGAGTGACCTCATCCCTCCAGGTCAGATCCTGGCTGTCCTTACTTCCATGGCACTGTAAACCCCCTGTCCTGAGACGGGCCTTATGACTCCAGTGAGACCTCCGCCTGCAGCTTCTCTGTAGCCTTTGCCTTCCTAGAGGCCTCCCGGTACCTAGCAGAAGGCTGGTAGGAACTTTCATCGCTGGCTGAGCCCTGCCAGCTCTGGCTGAGGCCCAGCAGGGCCCGGCCCTGGCGGAGGAAGTTGGGGCTTGAGAAGCAGTAGAGCACAGGGTCCAGGACACTGTTGAGGTAGGTGAAGGCCAGGGAGCCGTGGAAGAGCTGGGAGCAGATGTTGAGGATGTGGCAGGCATGCAGGCGGAAAGCCACCATGGAAGCCATGCCAAGGATGACACTGGGCAGGAAGCAGATGATGTAGACAGCCACCACCACGGCCAGCATGCGCATGGCCCTCCGCGGGCCTGTCTGCCCACCCAGGCTGCGGCGCCGGATGGTGAGCCCGATGCTCACGATGGCAAAGAGGATGAGCGCCAGCGGCAGGAAGAATTCCAATACGAACAGTGCCTGGTGCCAGCGGAGTGAGGCCGAGGTGTTCTTGCCCAGCTGGTAACTGAGGCAGGAGTGGTTAGTATGGGCAGTCAGGAGCAGGTGTCCGTTGAGGAGCAGGATGCCCCCCCACAGTCCCCCGGCCACTCTGGCGGCTGCCCACACAGAAGCCCGGCTCAGCATGTGGTGGGGCCGCACCACCTTCAGGTAGCGGTTGAGTGCGATGGCCGTAAGGAAGACCATGCTGGCCGAGCGGTTGGTGGACAGCATGAAGAGGTTGACTTTGCAGACAGTGGCCCCGAAGCGCCAGATCTCGTGCAGGAAGTAGTAGTCCACACGAAGGGGCAGGTTGATGATCAGGAGAAAGTCGGCAATGACCAGACTGACCAGGAACACTGTGTTGGACGTCCAGGGCCGCGTGTGGAAGCAGAAGATGAAGAGTGCCAAGCTGTTCCCCAGAAGGCCCAGGACAAACTCCACACCCAGGGCTGGTGCCAGGAAGGCAGATACTATGGGGGAGGAGGCTGGGTGGCAGGGAGCCGAGGCCTCTCCAGGTGACCCCCAGTCTGTGGTGAAGGCAGAGGGAGAGGAGGAGAGGGAAGGAGGGAGGGAGGCAGGAAGAGTAGAGGGAGGGAGAGAAAGGAGGGGAGAGGAAGAGCTCAGGTTATGAGATTCCATGGGCTGCTTAGGCCACAGACCTGAGAGAAGTTTCCAGTCTTTCTACCCCTGCAAGAGTGTTCAGGGCAGAGTGGAATGATGCTCACTATTAGCTGGCCACCACGATGACTCAATATCCTGGGGTTTTCATCAGCATCCTTGCAGCCACTGAGAAACACCCAGCGTTCCTGTTTGTAGGCTCCCCCCACCCCTGCAGCCCTCCCTCCTCCCTCCCTGCCCTACATCGAGTGACCTGGCCACATGGTCTCTGAAGGGGGGTGGGGGGAGTCTATGCTGCCCTGGGCAGGGGAGGAGTGCAAGGCTCAGCAGTGGGGTGATGGAAGCCCAAGAGGACCCTGAAGTGAGAGGAAGACCCAGCTGGGGTAAGGTGGGGAAAAGTGTTCATAGCCCCGAGGGATCAGACATTTGCTTGCCTGAAGGCTGGAGCTGGTCCTGGCACCCATAGCTCAGGATCATGCAGGCCACCCTGGACATCAGCCCCCACCCCATTACATACAGACTGGGCGGTTGTGTCCCTGCCCTCACCAGCTCTGGTGGCAAGGGAGTGTGGTGCCAACAGAACATTGTTCCAGGCGAGCGCAGTGGGCAGTCCAGTCAATACCTTGACTGTGGTGCTCACGGCCTCGTGGAATAAGCCTGTTGTGCCCTGCCAGCCTGCTGTTGTTACTCCCTGGTTCCCGAAGGTCCAGAGTCCATGTACAGGATGAAATACCTCCCACAGGCAGAGGGCTCCCTGCCAATTTCTACTGCCATGGCCTGGGACCTGGATGTTTCTCCCCCAGACAGAACAATCCTTAGAGCCTTCCAGATTCCCTGTCCACTGTCTACCCCACTCCATCCCTACCCAGCATTCACTACAGAGAGAGGAGTGGAGGCTGGGGCTGTCTTCAGACAAGGTGCAAGTCCTGCTCCTCCACTGTGTGGTGTTCTCAGGAGGCCATGGGGCCAGGCCTATGCACGGACACGAGGGTCTCAAGCTCCTGATAACCTGGGACAGCACCAAAGGAGGCTGCGGTTCCAGGCTGCAGGACCTGACACCCCCTTCGCCAGCGGGCTGGGGTCAGCAGAGTGCCACGTGTGCCAACTCTGCCAAGGCCTCTGGGTTTTGGGCACAGTGGCCATTGGTCTCTTTCTCTCTCAGAGCCTCCAGGCCTCTCCCCTGTCCTGGGCTCCCATCTGGCCAAGGCTGAGGGAGACAGGCTGCGACCGCAGAGTGCAGGGTGGTAAGCCCACCAGCCTGAGCTTTGAATGCAGACAGGCCTTGCTTGGAAACAGAGCTGCTGGTTTCCCAAACCTCTCTGAGCTTCCTAGAGTATGGTGAGGATTCAATGAGATAATGTATGTAAAAACTTCTAGGGAATTCCCTAGCGCAGAGCTAACGTTCAGAAAAACATCTAATTTTTATCATTTGTTTGGATTATCTGCCCTGGGCACCAGGGACAAACTCGTTTTCTCATGGCCGCTTGGCCCTGCACAGGGGGCCTCCCTGGGACATTCCCGTGTTCTCCCTTCATTTCCTGCACAGAGCAATGCCCTGCTGCAGCCCAAGTTCGCGCCAGCCTCTGCCTTCACATCCTGGACTGTCACCCAGTGCCCCCCACCACCCCAGACACACACACACACACACACACAGTCACAGGAGCACACAAGGTCTGCCATTAGTGACAGTCTGTGTACATGTGGATACATGAGTGTCCACCAGGAAGCCTTTATTGAGGGCCTTTTTGGTGGCAGGCAAGTGCTGTGCTGAGTATGTGGGGACAGAGGGATGGAGAGGCAGCCCCGCCTCAAGGAGCAGACCAGCTAGCAGAACCGGGCAGGGCAGTGAGCAGAGAGCTGTTAGAGGAGAAGGGGTGTGACCAGCCCCCCAAGAGCCTGGCATCTCAGCTGAGAGGATGATGATGATGTCCAGGGTCCGGCTCCGGGACGCTGAGTGGCTCAGCAGTGGTACATGCAGAAGCAGAGAGGGCAGGAGACTGATGGTGGGGGGGAGGCTGTTTTGGGGCCACACTCAGAGGATCACCCCAGGGGCTTCTTGCGGGCAGGATCCTGAGTCACAGCCAGGGCCACAGAGCCTTGCCCTCGCTCCCAGGCATACCTGTGGAGACACGGGTGGGCAGGGGTCAGACAGGTGGGCCCTGAGGATCCCAGGGAAAGGAGCGGGCTCCCACAGCTGGGGGAAAGTCCTCCCGTGCACTCACGCATTCCCAGCTGGCACCAAGAGGCTGTCATCGGGGGCCAGGCTCAGGCGCTGTTCTCCAATTGTCACCACAGAGGAGCCCTCCTGGGAAAGAGGAGCAGGAGAACTGAATGGAGGCTGTTGGGCCTCAACACCTGTCCAAGAGTCCCTGAGTCTGCCTTGGCAAGGAGGCCCTGGGGGCTGCCCCAGGCTCTGGGAGTCCAAAGTCCAGGAGCAGCCTGTCCCCATGGGCAGAAGGATGTACCACCCTCTCCCAGGGGCCCCACTTGCCAACTGCCACAGCCACACATCCACGTCCTGTCTTGGGCCTTTGCTGCTGCCTTGTCCATGGACAATCACCTGGTAGGAAGTGACATACATCTTTCTGTTGCTTCTGCCCCACATAGTAGATGGTCTTGAACCTGGCCCCCGGACACCAGGCCCACAGCACCAGGCACAGCCTTATCTTCATGTGTAGAGCAAAGACCGGGACTCAGAGAGGAAGGCTGCCAGGCCCAGGCTTCCCTGCTGCATCCGTGATGAACAGAGCTGCCCACATGTTATCTGGGATCACACATGCTTGCCTTTCACACACACATGCACATCGGATTCCTCTGATGCCCATCACAACTACTGCTGACTCATGTGAAGGCATGACTGCCAGGGGCACACTTGGGACACACACACTTGCGTGTACACGGCCTAGTGTGGACTTATGTATCACACACACATAGTTCCCCAGAGTGCCCACCTCCCTTCTTCCATGAGATTCTGGCCTAAGAACGAGGAAGGAGATGGGTGGGGATGAACCTTTTTGGCCTGCATTCGCCTGGAAGCACACAGCTACTGTGCAGGCTGCGCTCCTGCTGGCCCAGAATGGGACTCAGTAGATACCTGTCACCATAAACCAGAGCAGGTGGGAGCAGGGGTGTGAAAGAGGTGGAAGGCGGGGCCATGAGGCCAGTTGGTGCTGAAGGCCGTTGCCCTGATGGGCTGGGAGGGGCTTTGTGGTGTGCATCTGCTTTCACAGCCCCGTGTAAGCTCAGGTGTCTGCAGGCCAGACCTTTCAGGGCAGGTCTGTATCCAGTGAGCATCTCTCCACGAGAATGTCTAATTCAAACAGCAAGGGATGTGCCAGTGGCAAACTGTAAAGCACAAGCAAGCACGAGCCTCCTAGCAGGTCTCCTCGCCTCCACGCTTGCCCTTGCCTTCTGATCCTGTCCCCACACAGTACAGTGATCTTTCTGAAGGGGGATTCGTCATCTCCCTGCTTTAATGCTTGGGGGAAGCTCTGTTGTCTCCAGGATAAATCCTTACACCTTGTCCAGCCCAGGAGACCTGTCAGGACCTGGGCACTGCTTGCTACTCCTGCCATCTAGCAATGGTGCCTGCTGCCCCCACTCCTGGCTCCTACTGTCCCCTGTCCTGGCTCCTGCCAACCTCAGCTACTTGCAGTGCCAGGCTGTTTCAAGCTTCCATGCCCTTACTCATGCTTCTCCCTCACTTGGGATGCTCTCAGTCTCCCTTTCTTCCTTTTGCAAATGCCTAAATTTGCTTTAAAATGCAGCTTACACATCACCTCCTCCAGGAAGTCTTCCCTGACTTCCCTCCCAGCCTGGGTTCCACCTTTATTGTCCCATGGCTTGCTGAAGCTTCTCTATCAAATAACATACCACGTGATTATGGTAATTGTTGAACTTGTCTGTTTATCAGACCATACACTCTTCGAGGCAGTGACTCTAATTTTCCTACCAAAGCCGGACACATAATAAGCACTCAATAAATGTTGAATGAAAGAAGGCCAGCTTTGTTTGGGTGGGTCTCTCCCTGTTCATCACTCCACCCACCCCTCACCTCCCAGGCACCTCTCTTCCTTCTGGCTCCCCAGGCTAACACTGGCCAAAGGCTCAGGAATTCCTAATAGAGGGATAACTCTAAACCCTCAGGAACTAGTCAGTAGATGGGGCAACTCCTACTCTGAAGGCAAAGAAAGACTGCTTGAGACCATGTACTCCACTCATAGCAAAGTCATCATTCTCTGAGTCAAGGAGAAAACAGGAAGGCTTCTGTTCATGTCACAACTTCCCAAACTCTGTGTGTGTGTGTGTGTGTGTGTGTGTGTGTGTGTGTGTGTGATTAGTTACCATTTCCTAGGGCTGCTAGATAGATGTCCTGAGTGGCCCAGGGCTTCATTACCTGTGTCTCATAGGTGTCCCCAAACAGGCTGAGGGGTGTGCCTGCCTGCAGCTCTCTGCGGTGGCGATCCAGCCAGGCCTCCAGGGACATCGGCTCCATGACAGATCGGGTGCTCAGGGGGAATGGCGGTTCCTTGAGCAGCTGGTCTGCACCCACAGCACAGCTGTGTCAGTGGCCTCTGGCCCAGCCTGCCCAGCCCCAGCAGGCCCAGGGGTCCCAGCTCTAAATCACCAGAATGGGCTCTGGAGCCAGCTCAAGCCCCAAGCAGCCATGTGGAGGGTACTATTTGGTGCCATGATCTCACACTCTGGGTACCAGGCAGAGTCCTCAAAAGGAGACGGGCACTCTGGGCCAAGACCCATTCTACTCTGGGAAAGCAGAGAGGGAGGGGGAAAGATGGTTCAGGGGACTCACCAGGGATGGGCTCTCCTGTTTTGTGCTGCTCAGAGCTGAAGAACCTGCAGGGAGAAATGGGGAGGAGGAGTGGCCAGTGGAGACACACATGTACACACATACTCGTACACTCTCAGGTGTGGGAGCCCACACCCTCGTAGGCCCCCCCACAACTTGCTGTGGGTTCCCCTCGCTTCCAGCCCCATGGAGCAGTCCCTCCTCCCCCCCAGGCCCTCCCACCCCAGGAGGGCCGACCTCCCCCACCAAATCACAGGCATGATGGCTCCA